ATTTTGGAGGATCCTTTTCAAGATTTTAAAAGTGGACATAAAGCTATCTTCGGCTTTCCATCCTCAAACTGATGGACAAACAGAGCGCGTAAACCAAGTCTTGGAGCAATATTTAAGGTGTACTATTAACTACCAACAAGATGATTGGACAACCCTTCTGCCATTGGCAGAGTTTGCTTATAATAATATGGTACATTCTTCCACGCAACAAACACCTTTCTTTGCCAATTATGGCTATCATCCACGACTTGATACTTTTGATTTTTCAAAAGTTGATAATCCTGCAGCAGAAGATATGGCAAATCGGTTGTCAGAGTTACATGCAATAATGAAGACGTAATTGAAGGAAGCTCAAGAACGACAAAAGGTAAACGCAAATCTATATCGTAAGGAGCAACCACAACTCAACGTGGGTGATAAGGTATGGCTACTTCGTCCCAATATCAAGACTACTCGACCTTGTGACAAGTTGGACTATCGTAGGCTTGGCCCCTTTTCTGTTTCTGAATAGATCAACCCAGTTACATATCGGTTACATCTACCGGAGTCAATGAAGATCCATCCTGTATTCCACGTGTCTCTTCTTGAACCATATAAGATAGTGGATATACAAGGAAGAAGACAAATGCCACCACCTCCTATAGAAGTAGATAATAATGAAGAATTTGAGGTGGAAGAGATATTAGACTCAAGGCGGCGCCAAAATAAGCTGGAATATCTTGTTCATTGGCGCGGATATGATATTAGTGAACGCACATGGGAGCCATCCACGAATCTAGCAAATGCATCAGCTAAAGTCAAAGTTTTTCATCAACGACATCCATCAAAACCAAGATGAAAATCTCTCTTATAAAAGAGACAAGATTGAGGCAAGATAACATTCAATTTCCTATCCTTGTTTGTAACTTCTTTGCATTTGTGACACTAATTAGATGGAGAGCCAACAACCAATGGATTCAACTCAAGAACCTTCGTTTGCTGACCTGCCAGACGAGACATTACGATTGTCACAACCTTCAAGACGACGCAATCGAGATGAAGATCTTCAAGAACGACATATTCTTCCTCGAATAGATGGTGAGATACAACGCGTTTGGTATCACGATTTGGGAAGGGACTCCCGATGTTTGGTGATTTTGCTAGAGGTAGGAACAACTCTTGATGGTGTTCCAAATATTCTATTCGAAGGAAGTTACGAAGGCCTCAATAATGATCAAATAACTGGGTGGTCTTCCCGCCCTGGTATGGGATACTACCGATGGTTGAGAGGCCCTATCAATCATCTTCGAAGAGAACAGAGATCAGAGTATGTGGCGAATACAATTCGTCGCATCATAGATTTCCTCAACATATGATGACCGCTCCTCGTGGAACTCGTCTCTAGAACGGGGGGTAATGTCACGGCCATAATCATGTAAGCTAATAATTACATATAAAAATAGGTAGAAGTAAGTAAAAGTAGATAAAAGTAAGTTAATTCTATAATATTTAATATAGAAGCTTCCTAGAAACTTCCTAGACGCTGCTTTGACTTCATAGGTGTCTTTAATTGACTTTTTGGATTAGAAACGTGGTCAACAAGTTGGCCATGTGCCACACATGTTGTTAGCTTGAAGATCAAGCTAACTATGTGGCCCACACGTAGAAAAACTTGCCTTGTAAGTCAAGGCATGTGTCCTACAAAGTCAACACATATTGGAGGTCCTATAGAACGTCGCCACGTAGCCCCTAGTTAGATAGTATATATAGAGACAAGAGTGAAGGCTTCTTCACTCTTGTCAACTCCTTTCTTGCTTCTAGTCCAGGTTCAAGAGTCTTTAGTTTCTTGTCTTGTGGCAATAGCCATTCCAGTTTCCTTTTAATATACCTACTTGTTTATATTTTGACTTATTATATCGAGATAGCCTTTTTGTGTATATTTTTCCTCATCAAGTCTTTGTCTTTGACAGATTGTTTTCAACTTTCTTATGGTTTTTTTAGCTAAGAAACTAAGACGTGTGTAAATTTTAAGTAGATATCAATGGTTCTATCATTAATTGTTGAGGTTCCATTTTGCTATAGGATTTATTAAGAATTTGTGTAAGATCTAGGATTTGATTAGGATTTGGTTTATGATTTGGTCTAGGATTTGGTTAGAAGTAGGATTTGCTTAGGACTTGGTTTAAAACTTATCTAAGATTTTTCTAAGGTTTAGGATTTCATTAGGATTTGACTAAAGATTTGATTAAGGTTCAATTAGGATTTCAATTAAAATCATCTTAAGATTTTTTTTAAAAATATTTTTTTTAGGATTTTTTTTTTCTTTGTGATTTTTTTTAAAAATTTATTTTGATAGGTTAAAATTTGATTAGATTATTAGAAATTACTTGAATTTTATTTAAGGCTCTATTAGATTGGATAGAATTATTTTTGTATTATTACTTACTTTCTACAACTAGATATTTGGTGCATTTTTAAGCAAGAATACATGTAATATGATAGCGAGAAGTATATAAAGAGCTTGAACATTTAAAAGTGTATAAAACAAATTCTATATTATGTAGTTAATTTTAATAAACTATCATGAATAAATATATTTTATCATATGATTTTTTTTAATGTGAAGTATTCAATCAAGTCAAGTTAAGTTTTGATACTTTATGACCACAAATGATGCCTTCATCTATCATGGATTTGGGCTCTATTAGTCTTTAGACTTTGTTGGGCCACTTGTTATTATTCCATGTTGAACTAAATATATAGTAGTAATGATAAAATTCCTAGTTCAAATAGATTAAAGTTTTGGCGGATCAAGAAAAAAAATTCTTTAAAGCTTTTGAGGTTGTATATACTAAAGCTTTGATAGATCATTGTACTATCTCTATGAATTATTCTAAGACTAATAACTTGCTTGAATAGGTTGTTCAAAATATCAAATGTGGTTTATAAAAGTATAGATTGCTTCACATCAACTATTATGATTGAAATTTAATATTGTCATGAATTGTAATAGATTATTACTTTAGCAAGTAAGCATTTTTGACATCTTATAGTTCTTACTAATTTTTATATAAATAAAAGCCAATTCTACTAAGCTTAGTAGATTAAAAAAAACAAACACTAATTGTAGATTTAGATGATCTTGAGATTTGTGCACAATATATATATGATCAAGCAAAGTTCTTTAAAAAGTTCATATCTATGGCTATGGAAAACTTATCTATTTTTTTAAATTGTAATACTTTATAATATAGTTGCATTTATAGCAGAGCTTATTAACTTTAGTTGCAATACCTTTTATAGAAGATTATGTATATTTGTAATGTGAGGTACCTATTATATTTAATGTCAAAGCAAGGTACATAATTCTTTGTATTAAGGATGTGTTGCTCAATGGTATTTTATTGCTTGAAGGCAAAGATAGACATGAATGTTAAAAACATTCAAAAATTATAATCCTTGTCATCTTCTTATTGATGATTCTATACATATTGAATTAACAATTATGTCAAATGGCTTCTCTTATTTTTGTATGTGATGAAAAGAAAGAAACTACTACAATGCTATTATGTAACTGTTGTTAACATGGGTTGCATATAGTATTCTTGACACCACCTCTTTGACTCTTTCTTCAAGAGATTAGATTTGTCTTTGTTGCCAAAAAACTTTTAACCATGTTTCATGTATTGACAAAGATTAATGACTCCTTCTTCAAGGTTTGCCACATATTTTAGTGGTCTAATTGTTGTAACATTGACTTGAATGTGTACATTTTTTGGAGCAACATCATTATGGCATTCATCTCCAACTACATGTTTATTATCATCTTAGTTGATTGGTAGGGCTTCTAATGCAACACTAATTACTATTTTTGATTGTATATTTGATGATGGTTTGTAGCACTCAATGTATTGTGTATGATAATCTTTATTTATACATTTATTACTTGTCTTGTTAAATTTCAAACAAATATTTTTTTATGGTTTTTGCCAGTGAAATATTTATATATAGGATCAAGGCTAAAAACAAAAAAATAATTAAAAGATAGATATATTTTTTAAACACCAAAAAATTAGAATGGCTTTTGATAAGTATGTATAAACTAAAAAGTCTTTATACATCATTGGAATGTAAGAAAAGAATTTATCAAACTATAAATAAATATAGTAAAGATTCTATACATATTAACTATATAAAAGGCTATGCAAATGCAAAATACAGTAAAATCTTATAAAAAAAGAAAAAAAAAAGAAAAAAACATGATTATTACACACACATACCAAGCTGTTTTTAATGTTAAGCAATTAAGATATCTAAATTATTTTTTCACATGCAAAATATATCAGACATATAATATTTAGCACCGTACTATATCATACTATTAATAGAGCCATACTAAAAACGTGAACACAATTCACTTAAAAAACTATATATAACAAAGCACAACAGATATTTTATTATTTCTGAGTGTGTAATTATCATCAAACTATCAATCAAACAACATTCAGAAACTCAAAGATACAATGTTTGAAACAAATATCACGAAATTTCACGTCACGTTTTTAAAAAGTCAAAAATAGAAAAAAATATCAAAGAGGATGTAACACGAATTTTACGAAGTAAATCAGTGAAATGGTTTCGTTGAAGAGAACCATAACAACAGATGAACAAGCTTGAGAAGCGGTTTTCGGAGTGCAGCGATGCCGCTGCATCAGGAATGGATGGAGCGACAGGCATGAAGGAAATCCCCCAGAGCTGACATGCCTCGGACCTCCATCGCCGTTTTAGCTTTCCAACGAGCCATTACTTGCCAGGTTTTCGCGGCGAATTGCGTCTGCTATTGACCTTCCTCGCTCCGTCATCCCGTGTCTCCTTTCAGCAGAAAACAGCCATGGGATGCACGTTTTGAAACGGAGACTCGCCTTCTAGAACATGACAAACCTGAAGCTGTCAGTTTTCTGTTCGTCCCCCCCCCCCCCTTTCCCCCATTTTTACAAGCTATTATGTTTTGAGTTATTTTGATTTGTTTTGGTTGAGCATATGTCTTACGAGATTCTGTTGCCTGTTTTGCGGAAGGGCTTTAATTAGAAGGTAGATAAACAGCCGGAGGGAAATGGGTTTTACGGTGTGGTGACGGGAGGGAGAAGGCGCCGGATAGGGCTCGTTAGGGTGAGCAGGCGTGCAATTTGGCGAGGATTCAGGCGTGAGAGCACGGATGTTCCAAGCCCGGCGGTGAGAAAGCGTGTGACAACCCCAGTATCTACATGACTAAGGGCTCGAAGGCCGAGGAAGGCTTGTAATGAGCACTACAGCTTCACAAGGGCTACTGGGAAGAGCTGAAGGAGGTGTAGGAGGAGGAGGATCCGCAACTAAGCCCCCGATGTCGTCACAGAAGAGCGGTCGCTCGGGCACTATCCCTGGCCCGTTGAGTGGCCAGAAGAAGACCACCTTGGGCAATGGCGTCTCGCTTCCCCGCAAGCCTGCCCGATCTGTGTACGTTCTTGTGTGTTTGTCTCACAATGTCGAGAGTGATGTTTATTTGGAGAAGAACATCACTTTCTGTGTATGGGAAGAGTTGCAAAGGACATTTTCTGCTTTTTGATTGGGAAATTGAAGTTTTGGGCCTCACCAAGTGTGACATGCTTGGCTAGATCTCTAGGGTTTGGAAGGATTAAATTAGACGATCTCATTGTATTGTCTTCGGTTTTCGTGTATTGAGTTTCTCGTGGTTGTGGCATTCTTGATCTCTGCCAAGCTAATTCTACATCAGCTGTCTTGGATATTAATAGGATCCCTTTAGTGTGGTAGCTAGAATCAAACATTTCCAGGTCGAAACGACTCACGTCTGATCAGATTTTTTTAATTATACTCATTGGTTCACTGTAAGTACATGTCAATTTTGAAGTGAGAGTTATCTAGGTCTGACATTGAGTGCCACAGGTGAGTTGTCCATGACGATCGCATTTAGAATCAGAGTGTGCTGGCCTTTTAGTTGCGTTACTCCTTCAACTTGATCAATTTGGTTAGAAGCTTAAGAACATAACATCTTGTTAGATGAGGATATTTGAACTTCCTAAATTCAACTGTTACGGTTGCTGTATAGTTGTCTAGCGACTTATATCTCATACGATTGGCAGGTTTGATTGTCTTAAAATGTTGATATGGGTGGTACTGTATCCTTTGATTAATCGCTTGTTAATGGTCATTCTGCTGTTACCTTAAAAATGCTGATATTCATAGAAATATTGGAGGAGATGTGTTGTGTACTCAGTTTCGTATTTATATCAAAGAATGTTCAATGAAGTCGCTACTTGTTTTAATCATGTGCCGAATCATGATTACAGTGATTGCATGCCAGGCAACCTTGATTTTGTCTTTGTGATTATCCTCTTATTATTGAGAGGCGAAAGGAAGTTAATATGAATACTTGATTTGCAGACCGCCCGGAGAACGAACAGTGAAACGTTTGAGGCTGTCGAGAGCTCTCACCATTTCTGATGGCAGTTCTGTGGCTGATGCCTGTCGTCGAATGGCTACTCGACGAGTGGATGCTGCTTTGCTTGTTGATAGCAGTGCGCTTCTTTGTGGCATTATCACAGATAAGGTACAGTTTGCAGCTAGCATTTCTGGTAGCAGTGTAGGGTGTACAGGCAGCTGTGCTCGTCTAAATGGAGGGAATAGCTCTAATCATTCTGGAAGTTCACGCTACAGTGAGGCCTGTGTTGATATTTGTAACTAGGCTTCAACCGAACTCTCTTATTGTTGATACTGCATTATCTCCTCAAATGATAGTCTTTTGCTTATTCTTCTTCTTTTTATTATAATAATAATAGTAGTAATAATTTTCCGGGTGTGTTTCCGCTCTTGGTCACATAACAAACTTGGCACACTGCCTTCATGCCTCTGTGGTTCGTCAACTCGATTGTGGATTAGGTGTCCAATGGCTGTTGCTGTGAGTCGCAACCTTTTGTAGATGTTTTTAAATTTTCATTTATTTATTTTTCTTCTTCATTCATCTATAATAGAACTTGTCATTCAATGTCATCATCATTGATTCACAGGATGTTGCCACACGAGTTATTGCTGAGGGACTTAGGCCCGAAGAGACTTTAGTGTCTAAGGTTATGACGAAGAATCCCGTCTTCGTTATGGGCGATACTCTTGCAGTGGAAGCATTACAGAAGATGGTTCAAGGTACTGTTTGCTCCTTTTCTTTCGTGTTCCATAATTTCAACCCTCCTCCTGCATGCTTTGGCGCGTTTGAGCCGTAGTTTCTTTTAGATTAATAAAACTGTATTTTTCCGCGAGCATTTTCTAGTGTTTGAAACTGAGGACCAATTTTGGTAATCTTTGTTAGCAGGTTTATGTAAATCATCCGTGTTATGTACGACTACGCAGTTTCAGTGTCGTGGAAGATGTGAGCACATCTTAAACTATCCCATCTCTATTTGTGACAGGCAAGTTCAGGCATTTGCCTGTGGTGGAGAAGGGAGAGGTTGTCGCACTTCTGGATATCACCAAGTGTCTCTATGATGCTATTGCTCGCATGGAGCGGGCTGCTGAAAAAGGCAATGCAATTGCAGCTGCTGTTGAATCTGTGGAGCGTGAGTGGGGCAATAATGCTTCAGGTAAGCATGGTACTTCTCGTAATCAGCACAAAATGTGTTTATAGATTCACACCATATTTGTGATGAATAAGTGGATGTTTTCTTGGTACGCTCTTCTCGCTGCTTTGTCTTATGACGCGATTGATCAAAGATATTGAGTTTCACGAGTCGTTGGCTGCTTGGTTCTGTCAGATAAGTCAAGTTTTATTGAGAATCTTCGAGACAAGATGTTCAGGCCTACTCTAGGATCTATTATTCCGGAAGGATCCAAGTGAGTTCATTTTTCACTGATTTTTACTTTCAGCACCTAAAATTCTAGCCACGGAAAGGGGTTATGAGATGATTGTGTATTCTCGTTTATCGGAATATTGTGGATTTTCGATACAATGCGAGGTCATAATGGTCATTTTAAATTTCATTGTCTTTGTCTCAGAGTGCCAACCTGTTCACCATCTGAGACTGTCTCTGCCGCGACCAGAAAAATGAAAGAGTATCGGATGAATTCAGTGATTATTACTTCGCTCAGCAATAAACCATCGGGGATTCTTACGTAAGAGCGCTATCTTTTTGCTCATGCCGTAGTGGTCTACTGGGAAAAGATGAGTGCAAACATGTATAGAACTTCTTCCTTTTTCTTTTTTTTTTTTCTTTTTTTTTCTTTTTTTTTTCTTTTTGTTACCGTACTTGCACATGTATTACCCTGCTTACCCTCAGACGGCCTTGCTTCAATCAAACTATCTTGTTGGATTTGATGCCTGTAGCTCAAAGGATGTCCTGATGAGAGTTGTTGCGCAAGGTTTACCTCCTGAAACGACGACCTTGGATAAGGTTTGTTTCTGTTCTATATATGTTTTGGTATTCTTTTTGAGACTGTCTTTGCAACTGTAATGTCTGCTCTAATAATGCATGAAGCCGTTTCGTACGGTCATGGAGTCTGTTTGTCTACAGAAGTCATATTTAGCTGACGCTGTCAGATTGTAGGAGCTGTAATCTCTCTCTCTCTCTCTCTCTCTCTCTCTCTCTCTCTCTCTCCCTCCCCCTCCCTCTCTCTCTCTCGCTCTCTTCCCACCCCCTGATGTGACAGTCCTAAAGTAATTTGGGTTCATGTTCAGGTCATGACACCCAACCCTGAATGTGCCGGTTTGGATACCACTCTTGTGGACGCACTACACACCATGCACGATGGCAAGTTTCTCCATCTTCCAGTTACAGATCGAGGTAAACATGTGTATTGCTTATTCTTGTACAAGTGCTAACGTTATATCTTTGTTAACTTAAGACATTCTTATCTTTTTTTTCTTGAATCATATTGTATGCTTTTTGTTGAATTGCTATCTCTCACTTATGTCAAACGTCATATTCTGAAAGATCACGGGTTGTTCCTGTTGTTGTGTACAGATGGATATATTGTGGCATGTGTGGATGTCCTACAGCTTACACATGGTGCTGTTGCAACCGTAAGTGCTAAATAGATCCTGTTACAAATAATTGCATTTAGGAAGATACTATTGTTTTTTCCCGTAAATTTAACGTGAGCTAAAATTGCGAATTTATGGTGACGATAGGTTGGTGGAGGAACTGGTAGTGTTGGTGGTGGTGGTGGAGGTGGAGGTGCTGATCAAGCAACAAATATGTTACAAAAGTTCTGGGATTCTGCTCTGGCCCTAGAACCTGCTGATGAAGATGATGATTCTCACAGGTTGGTCATTGTTAGTATACTCACTGGACCAGCTTGTTCAAGCACTGGACCGATGAAATATGTGTCCATTGCATAAACCAAGAGAGATCATACATTCTGGGTTGAAGAAAATTCGGTTATGAGAATTGATTTATCAAGGGTGACTAGGTTTTCAAATTTTTAATTTTGTTTTAAAGAGTCCGTCTCCCTCTTGTTTTGCTCATTAGTTGGAGATTCACTTTTTCTGAGAGGGTGAGTTCTGAATGTTTTGGTCATGTTGGGCTAATCTTTAGAAGGTTTTTGTCTTTGTGTTCGTAGTGATTTTTCTGCTCGACAGTCTGATATATATTCAGAAAGACAATCTGGTTATCAAGAAAGACAATCTGGTTATCCGTCATTTGGGCTCGGTAATCAGTTCGCATTCAAGCTGAAGGTGACTGGCAGCGATGGAAAAGAGCAAAATCAGCGCTTCAACTGTGGTGGGCATTGGAAAACTTCATCTCTAATAAATGAAGTTTCTCGGCTTGGAGAATAACGCAAAATTGAACAGTGGGATTTCTGTGGACTACGCAATCACAAAAATATTGAGCATGTGCTTCATTGCATCGGTGCGAAGTTGTTACTGTTCAGGACTTCTTAATATTGTATTGTATTTTCTGATCTTTCGCAGGATCTGAGAGCTTGACCGAACTTATGTCGATGATAGTTCAGCGTCTTGGTCATGACATAGATCGCACTCGTCTTCCTCGCCTCATGGTACGCTCATTTGTGTTCTGCACACTTATTCGAGGTTGTTTGTATTTTTGTTTTCTGTTGTCTCTTTGCCATCTGAAATTGCATACACTTATGTACTTACACGATTGTGGTCATGCTGGGTGATCTTATTGCAGTATGTGGACGACGAAGGTGACAAAGTTCTGCTCGGCACTGACTCCGATCTTGTGGCTGCTGTCAACTTTGCTCGCATTAGTGGGTGGAAGGTCAGTTCACCCCGTATGGTAGTTCTGTGTGTGCTTTTGACTGGGGAAGGTAGATCTTTTCAACAACCGAGGACATCAACTCGAATGTTGTGGGTGTTGCTGTCAAATTGTGTATCTATGAAATGGTTGGCAGTTGCAACCAAGGACATAAACTTGTTTTCGTTTCTCTTTTCTACTATTTGCTCTGATGAATGTGCTGTTGATGCAGGCGTTGACTCTCCATTTGGAAGAACCACAAGAGCCAAGGCGTAAAAAAGTCTCGGCACCCCTGAAGCCTGTGCAGGCAGTGCAACCCTATCAAACCTCTCAAGGGTTTTCAGGCATGCACACAGCAATCATTGCTGGCAGTGTAGCAGTAGTTGCTGTGAGCATTGTTTTATTTTTCCGCCGCTCAAACTCTTGACTTTTTCATCTAGGAACCTATCTTGATAAATGAGATTATGCAGAATAAGGCACATTAGCACTATGTAAGTGTTTTTGTTCGTAGATTTATTCTAAGGAAACATTATACCGAGAGCAAGCATTTTTGATATGCGACTTTCTTCACCAATTCAAGAGGTCGTTTGATATCTACGGCATACTTTCTTAGTCCAACAAGATCCTTTTCACTGCCAGGCTTTGCTTGTCACACAGATCTGCTACTTGCAATTTCTTCATATTTGCTTCTTTTAAGGTGTTTGCAGTGACTATTACTACGCTTCAAAATGGAGCTGTGTTGCACCCACATCTATGCGATGATGCTTAAGATATTTCTCAATTGTAAAGATTGATTATTTCCACAACATTTTATTCGACTACTCCTATCAACGCGTGGTCTTCCATATTTTTTCCCTCTGCTAATATTCACTCACTGTAGTAATGATTGCTAGTAAAATTTCCTGCAAAAGTTTGAATATCAAAACCTCCTATTCTAGTCTTTTTGAATACATGTCCAAGACCGAAGAATTTAAAATGGTACTGTCTCAAACCGTATCATACAAAAACCCGCAACTAAAGAACTGAAAATTATCACGGTTTCGATATTTTGGAACTGGAGAGTGCATACAATTGTCAATAGAAAACTATGTTACACCATGCTTTTGGAATCAATAAGGAGCATGCCTAAGTTTCGAACGACCAGCTCTTTTCGCAACCAGCCCACTAGAAACCCAAGCAATGCTCCTTTCGTTTGCATCACAATCCTCACTCCATCTACAAAGCCGTCCATCCTCGCCACCCGTCCAACAGAAAAGGCCTTCCAAAGGGGTGTCAGCATTTGTTCCTACATCACAGGGAAACCAAACAGACCTCACCACGGAAGAGTGGCCCCCTTCTAAGACGGCACTGGCTGGTCCAACTGCCGCAGCATCATTTGTGCCTGACCTCTTCACTGGAATGTGGAGAGGAAAGTACCCGATTGTTCCTTCTTGGGTCCCGGCTATAAGCCAGAGCGTGTCGAATCCAGGTATGTAGTGGCAGCGTATCAGATAATCCACCTGCACAGCCAAATTCAAAAACACGAAGCTCAATAATAACTTCGAAAAACCGGCTTCTCGAGTTCTGCTTGAATTGTAAGACAAAAGAACTATTGCTACCTATTTCAAAACAAGAACTTATTCTCAGTTATTAATTTTTCTCATCACTGAGGCCTTGCTAAGACTATCCAAATAAAAATTTCATGCACAATCAAGAGAGACGCTTACAGAGGGGTAACTCCAATTGGCTGAAGCCTCGGAGCGGATATCTGTGAAGTCAGCTTCCAAAAGTGCATCCTCAATGTTCCAAGAACTGCCACAAATAAAATATAATTCAGGTTCAATGCTGTAAACACATGAGTGGGTTCATAGCTGAAACCAAAGAAGAATTCACTGTTGCTTCCTTGCAAATCGAAAGAGCTATATTACAGTTAGTCTCTTTATCAAAAACTGGATTGGAATCCCAAGAAGTCACAGGTATGTCCCCGCAGTTAAGCTCACCTCACTGTTTCAATATGTGTTTGGCACCAAAGCCGTTCACGATTGCTTCCGTAGAATCCTATTCTAGCGATAGAGGTTCCCACGCCCATTACCTGAAACTCATAAAACCCTCGAAACCTCAACGACAAGATTATCGTGACAATCTGATGAACTATCTTATTGCATCAGAAAAGTCGACCCGGAAAGTCCAAAGAATTGCACCTAGAAGCTACAGGAGCTGTGAATGATCTTCAGCATAGATGAAGAAAACCGCGAGTTACTGTGCAAAAACACTCACAGATTCCATTCCTTCGTCATCATTGATGTCGCTCACGGTATCAAATACGCACATCAAGCCATCTACTGAAGCAGACACCAGTTTTTCCTTCTTACTCGGATGGAAGCGAACCTACGGAGAAACATAAAAGCATTCAAATCATTGATGTTAAGCACACATTCCGAGGAAATAGAGTACCTGTCCTCCGTGTATTGTTCTTTATACTCAAAACGTTCACGCTCTAAACTTGTGGGTCGTACAATGCTCTACAATGCTACCTGACTTGGAGACACAAATATGATCCCTAGCAGGGAAGCTAAGAACATGAGTAATGTTCACCTCACAACTTCAACTGGGAAGCGTAGTGAACCTGCGTAACAGCTTCTGTGTGGCATTCTTCTAATGTGGCTATTTGGCGATTTGTCCGCCGGTCCCAACATATCACCTGCAGTGGCAGAGCAAGACAAAGTTTAATAAATTGAGAAGGTACTCAAGCTCATAACTTCCCAGCATTCACAGTGATTTAATGTTCAACTGCAACAAAAAAGCTCAGAACATATATTAGTTTACGAGGCAAGAGCTTCACTAAACAATAAGCAGCGCCAAATTTAACTCGCCCTGAAAGGCAATTACAGACTAAATGCTTCAGCACTATTAAAAACAATGCGATCATGCGACCAAAATTAACGTAACTGTAACATTTAGTACTGGGGTCGTCGAGCTTAATTTGAATTCAGATCCCAACCTAACACATCCAAAGTCCTAGAGCAAAAGATGATGAACAAAGGTCAGTGAATCACCGCAGCATTGCCACCAGAAGCAACCAAGTTTTGAGTAGAACCCCCGACATCAAAACTCCATAACTCTTGGTTTTCTGACCGTAGACTTGCAACCTGCGACGGCAACCCAACAAGGTTTACTAAATAAATAGATAAATAAACCATCCAAGATAATTGAGCTCATAAAAATGAGGTATGCGGTTAGTTACCTCTTTTCTTAGACGAGTGTCCCAAGCCCTCACTGTACCATCAGCCGACGAGGAGCACAACATATGAGGTGAATCTGCATCAGAAAAGGAAACGTCCGAAATCGTGTCGGTATGTCCAATACAGTCCCCCAGAAATTGGCCCGTTGCCAGACCATATAATTTAATTCCATTTGTTGAAAGCGAGGCTGCCATTATGGTGTTATCTCCACTGCAGATCACGACGCACCACAACAGCCACAGCTCATCAACAACCAACAGCTGTAACTGAAATGCACACTTATCTACCAAAACCGAACATGAAAACCACAAGTAATCACAAGAAAAAACAATTAAGGCTCGATGAACCCTTAGCCCAGGGGTTTAGGGTTTAAGGAGCAACATCCAATAGCACAATTGTCACCATCACTACATAAAGCACATGCTCCTAAGAAAACATCGCAACGAAAAACAAGGGAATCTTAAGAATGTCCGAGCCAGCTACAACTCAAAAGCCAAAGCCCTAAAAACCTGAACTCCTCACAGAAAACTCATCTCTCGACAGAACTTACCCAATAAGCTTGGGCATTACAGGGAATACAATACGGAAAGTCCTAAATAAAATACGAAGTCGAGGAATCTGACTCACTTGGCTGCAATGTCGAAAACGTAGTCGGGATCATCCGGGACACCAAAGCTTGCTTGAATGCTGGTGCTCAATTTGCACTTGGCCACAGCGCCTGGCAAGCCCATCCTCACCTCCGTCTCCGTCTCCTCACTTCTCCTCTTTTCTCCGGCCCAAACCCACTTCAATTACGACGGCGCCTGTGCGCATGAAGTAACTATTTTCCAAGCGATGTGATTCCTTACTCGTCGCATGCAATCCCCTCGCCGAAATTCGAACCCTCGAGGGTTGAATTTCGTGGCACTTTCGATCTCCGCCCTATAGTGGCGGTTGTCGGATTCCTCTATCGGCCGCCAAATTTAGAGGCCGTTTTCTCATCCACGAATTTCTGCCGTTTTTATCCCATCATTCGTTGTATGGATGAAGCATCCACGTGAATTCGCAATAGGGGAATCAGTTTCGTTTGTAGAACCGAACATGGTTTGGAAGTGTATCATAATTCGTTCCCCTAAAAAAAACTTTAAAAAATTTTATTCAGTTGAGCTGATTTCAATAATGATTAATAAAAAAAAAATGTTTAACTAAAATATCCTGAAATACAATGTATTATCTATAGGATTTTAGTATGTTTGTCATGCATAATGTTAGTGTTGTTTCACCATGTTATATTTTTTAAATATGTAAAATAAGCGAATAATTAATATAATATATAAAATAAAAGAATAATTATATATATTATACATACTTATATTGATTTAATATAAATAGATTAAAGAGAGATCCTATTATACCAATATATTTATTATTATTATAATTTTATTACTTTTATGGTTGAAAAGATTAAAAAATTATAATTATAATAAAAAAAATTAGTAATTCTTGGAATTTTATTTATATTTATATTGCAAGTTTTACTAATATTTCTATTCAAGATGCCATTTTTTATAATTTTTAAAAGTCCTTTATATATTCACAATTTTTCACTTGATAAAATTGATTGATGAGTAGTCAGTTATTCTATTACATAATAGTGCATCCAAAGTTTTATTAAAGAACTAAGATTTAAGAAAATCACTCTTTAAGAATATTAGTCTAATAATCACAACAAGAAAAGACAAGGTGGATTTTTTTTTTTTTTTTTTTTTATTTTGTTTTTTTGGATTTTTTTTCTACATAATCTCTGCATATATATATATATATATATATATATATATATGCCAATATAAACTAATAACATCAAACTTGATTATTTTTTAAAATTTAATCAAAATTTACCGTATTAAAACCAATTTGATTCTTAGTTGTTATTCAAACTACTTTAAAAGAAGACATGCTACTTGTATTAAATGTTTATCTCTCTCTATTTTCTTATATACTTTTTACATTATAAGGTTGTAATTTTTGTTGTTTTAATTTATTTGTTTTTAATTTCTACTTACTTCTTAAAAGAATTATAGCATAGAAGGTTGCTGAAAAAATAAAAATTTATCTCAATTTCAAAATTGGAACCAAAAACCTCTTTAATTAAGTTGATTCTAATAGGTACATTTTTATTACTTGTGTATTGAATCTAATTCTTTATAGTTTATGCAATAAAAGGTATTTTAGTATTTTAATATAAAGTATAGATTTAATATTGAAAATTCTGCACCATTTAAATAAAAAAATATTTTTATATAAGTATTTTTTTAAGAAATATATTTAGAAATATAAAAAAAAAAATTACTCAAACATCAAAATTACTTCATTAAAGGAAAAATGGCAAATAAAGGCATACATGTTATTCTATATAAAATAACAAGAGTTATAGATTATTAATAAAAATATATATTCCAAATTAAAGAAAAAAATATATTAAAAAATAAAAAATATATATATATTTATAAATTCAAATGATATAGAATATAATTCTATAATTTTTTTATTTTTTATTTTTTAAGTATCATTTTTAAAGGAAAAAAATGATTTTGAAGTTGAGTACTTTGGAATTATAAGTTAAACGGATAAGAAACTTTTAAAGACATAAAATAAATAAATAAATAAACAAATTATTTTCATTATGAAATCCAAAAACAATTTAAAAATTATCCCTAGGATTTTTTGACCAATATACTGGGTTTTTTTTTCTTTTCTTGTATTTATTTTTATTTCAAAGCAAGGACTATAAATTATCTAAATTTCTCACTTTTTTGCTCATTTTTTCTTCAATATAGAATATTGTATTAAATATATAGGTGAAAAATTGAACTTGCCAATATTAGCACTTAAACTATCTCCAAAAGCTAAGGCTTAAGAAAACAAGAAGCAAAAGGATTTATTATCATTAATATATTTATATTTTTATTATATATATCTAATATTTATTTATTATTATTATTATTAATACTTAAAAGTTGTAGAATTATATTAAAATCTTAGATATGATAATATATGAGAAAATATATTATTAGAATAGAAGTTTTATAAAGCAAGTATAAATAAACTCACTATCCAACCAAAGAAGATTCAAGAGAATTAATTGCTTAAAATGAACCTCTTTCTTAAGCTTCTAATTAGTATAAGTCCATGTTCTAATGACATAGATTTTTTAGTACAATCATACTAACAATTAGTTCAATTATTGATATATGGATATTTGACTTTTTAGACCATGTAGTAGCTTAGTAGGATACAATGGCTATGATAGATATGATGGTTATGATGGTTATAACTGCTATTCAACTATGTATTAACTAAAAATTATAATATACAACTAGTTATCAATTATTCATATAATGTCTATTAGGAATTTATTATATAAGTAAATAGTCTTTTAACTCTTCCACTTAATGACATATTAGACTAACTCAAGTTGATAATTTCTATCATCTCTTTGAATTTGCAATGTTTTTCATAAGTTGGACCTTTGGTCAAAATATCCATAGCCATGTCTGAAGTCCTACAAAAAATAAAGTTGGTATTCCCATTATTAATACTTTCATAAACAAAATGTTATTGAATTTTAATATCTTTAGTACAAGCATGGAATGGATAATTCTTTGAAAAAAAAAATAACTTAAGTTATTACTAAAAATAATCATAGGATTGTCTCATGAAAATCCAATGTCTTAAAATAATTTAGAAAGACATACTACTTCCTTTGTTGCATGAGTATCTTTCATATACTTTCCTTCAATAGTAGACAATGCAATTGTTGGTTGTTTCTTACTATTTCAATTGATTATACCACCATCTAATAAAAATATATAACCCAAATTATATTGTTACATGTTAATATTTCCTACATAATCTACATTGCAATATCTAATCACTTGCAAAGTCAAAGGACTTCCACATATTGTAACACATAATTCAATGTACTTATGAGATATTGTAAAATTTGCTTAATAGCTATTTAATGTTGTAGTTTAGGATTTTCCATGTATTAGCTAAGAACTCCTATTGTATATGTAATATTAATTTAAGTACCTATCATTGTATATATTAAATTACCAACTACACTTTAATAAAGAATATCTTTCATTACTTCAATCTTCTTAGGAATGTAAGGACTCATATCTCTTAATAGTTTGTTGTTAGAAACTTAATCTTTTAAATATGTTTTCTAAACAATTCTATTAATTAAAGTTGATTTTATTATTTTTTTTACTTCTCGTAATCTACATATCTAAAATATAATAGATTTCTTCCAATCTTTCATTTAAAATCTTGTGGCTAAAGAACTCTCTATCTTTAAAATAAAACTTTTACTATTACAAACTAAAATTAGATCATCTAAATAAAGTACAATAATGATGAATCTATTATTATTCATTATAACATAAATATTTGAATTTGCATGGTTTTTCTTAAAACTTTATGAAAAGAATAATCATCTATCTTCTTGTATCATGCCCTCAAAGATTGTTTGAATCCATAGAGAGTTTTACAAAGCTTATAGACCATATATTCTTCATCTTTTAAGACATAGTCTTCAAGTTGATCCATACTAATTTCTTCTTTTAGATCCCTATTTAAGAATATTATCTTGATAATTATACGATGAACTTCCAAATCTTTACTAATTTGCATATTAGTATAAGAAGTATAAAAACATTGAAGTAATTTTTGCTACTAAAGCAAAAGTCTCATTATAATCAATTGTTTCTTTTTATGCATAAGCACTAGCAATTAGTCTATCAATAAATATGCCCATGCATATATCATCATTGATAAAAGAGGATGTAGAGGTGGAATAGTAATTGGATTTAAAGCTCTACATTATTGTCCAAGTACTCAAGCTTGTAATCAAATCTCTTCAACTAAAGATAAAGATTTAATAAGTAGATTTTATTGATTATTGTTAATATTTAAGTCTCTTGCTATATTATCATTATTACTCTTTAAATTAAATAAAGAATCTATAGATTAAAATTTTATCATTATTATTTTAGATTTATCAATAAAAACTTTTAAAATTCTTTTCATTTACTTAGAGTCTTTACACTCAAAAAATTAAACATCACGACTTTTAATAATATAATTATTTTTAATATTATAAAAATAATATAAATTATAAAATAATTATTTTAAAGATATAAATAAAAAAATAAAAATATTAATATTCTCTTATGTTGCTTAAAAATAATAGATATTAATTCAAAAATATTATAATATTAAAATTAGAATGATTATTGTCAAAGATAAAAAGAGTAAAAACTCTTATAATAAGAATAAAAGTAAGAAAGGCATTGAAAAAAATGAAGAAGGTTTCACTCTTACATCTATATATATTATATAATAAGAAATTATTTGGCAACGTTCTATAGGACCTCTAATACATGTCTAACTTGTAAAATAAGTTATTAACATGTGCAATACATAGCCAACTTGTAAGATAAATTATTAACATGTGCAAGACATGGCAAACTTGTTGGTCCATTTTCAACCTATTAGTCATCTATAAGATATATTAAATCAAATTATAATGGAGCATTGTCAGGGACAAGAACTCGATGAAAGCTAAAGAGTAAGTGAGACTTTTCTCAAAAAGAAATAGGACAAAATAGAAATATGTATATTAAGAAAGAAACTGGAATGGCTATTGCCAAAATACAAGAAAACTAGAGACCCTTGAAACTAGACTAGAAGCAAGAAAGGAGTTGACAAGAGTGAAGAGGGCTTCACTCTTGCCTCTATATATACTATCTAACTAGAAGCCACGTGGCGATGTTCTATAAGACCTCCAATATATGTTGACTTTCTAGGCCACATGCCTTTGCTTGCAAGGCAAGTTTTCTATGGATGGACCACG